CCGTTAAAACTCTAAAACGGGATTTCTTGGTGAGCCGTGCGAACAGGATATCCTTGTTCGATCGCGCGAACGCCGATTCTCACGGGTCCCCCCCCCCCCACCCCCACCCCCCCACTTGTCTGTGTAAAACGTTTCCGGATCCCCAATCGGCGTCTCGCCGATCGAGTACCGACCAATCAGCCTAGTTGTTTAGAAGACGTAGCGAGTAGCCGGCATGAGCGAAGGGGCCAGTCTTTGCATCTATGATCTTTGTGTCTTTCGAACTTCTGATACCACGTTATTTACTTCGACTGCATTTATACATTCTTAAATGGACACGCGTTCCGAGCGCACCGGGCTGCAAAGAAACGCGTGTCGCACAAGAGACACTCGCGAGAAGGCACTGTAAGTATTGACATACACAGAAAAACACAACCCCACCACTCGATCACCGCAGACGCACACGTAGACTCCAGTGCGCGATACAGTCTTTAACTTCACCGAGCGAACTGATCTTTTCTCGTTTTTAAAACGGCCTACTTTGTTTGCCGTGCATCTAAAATTCAAGAAGCGTCCTCGGTTTGACACGGATTTCCTTTTATTTATCTCTTCATTCGGATTTCAAGTATCTTCCGCTATTTTTTTTTTCAAGCACTTTATGCTCAATCAACGCTCTGATACTTTCGTATCTTCTCGATTCTTATCGCATATTTTTATCGCAGAACATAGCAGCGCGACATAGTGCCACAAAGAGGAAAAGGAGAGATCGTGCGGGAGCTTCCGTGCAATCGTACTTCCGGCACGATATCGTCTAAGCGTACCTGAACAACTCGCACAGAGTGTTACTCCGAGCTCTTGTATCCTTTTCACCAATCGCAAACGTCGAGCACCCGCCATTCGCGCCAGGTTGCTAGTTACGTTTTGTCATTTGCCGGCCGTTTCTTAGCACATTCCTGTCGTATGATACGCGTTTCCACACACTCATTTACACGGAATACACGGACATGCATACGCGTCCAGCATTTTTGTTGCCGTCTTTCAAAATCCTTTATATTTTTTAGAAGATTTGCGCCCTGATAATATTGCAACAATTGATTTAAATTGCATGATATAATTCGCGGAAAATGAATATTGAATTACATCATTACTGTGACATCTATAATTTCGCGCGATTGTTTCGTAGGTAAACGTTTCTTTGCAAAAAAAAAAAAACAAAATAGTCCACCACGCAAACTGGTGACAATCAGCTCTTTTGCTCGCAAAAGGGGGAATCGGTTCTCCCGTTATTGCCAAAGTAAACTCGTCTCACGAACGACGCGAGTCTTTCCTTCGTAAGGGACTGTTATTAGTAGAAACGTCGTACCGGAAACGGGGCAGCTATATTTGGAGTTATAGATATCTACAGGGTGCCCGACGTTCAATCGCACAATTATTCAATTCACTCACTCGCTGTCGCGTACGACACACGTTAGATCGGCCTTCCTCCTTTTTTGCTCGAACGGTCCTCGCGTGATAGGCAAGACGAAAAGAGAAAAAGAAAAACAAAGAGGAGGCACCCTGTAGACGGATAGATCGACTATATCATTAGCTGAGTTGAGGGGGGCCGAGGTGAGGGTTGGAGTAGCCAGCACTCGCTACATGGTGTCGTAGATTATCCAGGCTCCGAAATTCCCCCCGATTCGTCGCGCGGGAAATCGACCGGTGGATCAACGGGGATGCGTCCCCGCGCAGCATAGGCGCAGCTCTCTTACGAGAAACGCAAAGATTCACCGACAAAGAATGAATATGTGCGACTCGACTTCTTCGGTGACGCACGAATAATTAATTTTATTTGGCAAAAAAGCCGTTATCAGACTGTAAACTCGACAGTGGTATTGCGTCTATGCTGTCGAGCTATCATTCTCATCAAGTGATCTCTCGATCTGATTGACCGATCGGTTCGTTAACTCTGAAAGGAAGAAGGCGCGTAAGGCGAGAGGCGAACGGAGAAAATCGGCGGTACTACGACGCGGTGAGATATCGCACTTGGACCAAGGAAATTCGGAGTCTGTTAGATAGATAGAGAGCCACGCAGCTTAGACGAAGCTTAGCCTACACACAGAGGGTATACTTAAACTATATATATATATATATATATATATTTATACACACATACATATATATATATATATGTATGTATGTATATATATACAAGCATATACAGCAGGTATACACCCGCTCCGGACGTGAGCCGCACACTCACTCAACACACACAACATGCATACACAGAGAGAGAGACACATCTATACATGCACACAGACACACGACTTATATCTACTATATATTTGATATATCGCATTGTAACAGGTGTGTCCAAAATGCGCAACGGCTGCATCCCGATAATCTATATTTTATTAATAAGGGATAAGTCTATATAGGGTTACTAACGTGTTACGGATTATCACATAAATTAGAGAGAAGATTAATCTATTATGAATATATTGTATAATGCGCGGCGAAACTCAAGCAGAAAGATGGAGAAAGGAAACGATGAAACACATTGCATACGCGGCATTAGCGCGATCGGGCGGAAGCGCGAGGTATATAAATGTAAATGTATGTATATGACGAGTTTTAAATGACTATGATCTGTGCTATCGTAGGATATGTCGTTGAAATTCAGGAAATATGGTCTGCTTGCCTAATCGGGGCCTTAGGCGTCGTTCACATTGGGAAAGAAGCAACTCTAAAAAAAAAAAATAAATGCACGAGATGTCAAAAGATCGTCGGGCGCGCCGGCTTCGCGATTGCGCGTGATCGGCGATCGTGAATCGATGCGCCTGGCGGTCCCCTCGATCTCTTATCAAATCTTTTCCGTGTGTTAGAATTAGGATATCGAGATTAAAGGTGGGACGAGTCCGTTGCGACCGAAGCGATAGCCACGAAGATCTTGCGTAATTTCTCGCAGTAATTGCGAGTGATCGACAATCGGTTGCGACTCGCCGTCAACGCAAGTGACTTCTTTTTCCAGTATTGCGAGTACGATTTGGATGTTGTGCATGATACGGGCGGCTGGCAGCAAGAAAATACCTTGAACATACACACTCACACACGCGCGAATATGCACACAGGTATACAAGGACACACGGAGGGACGTAGCTCGAAATTAAAATAAGTATACATTAATTTATTGCGAGAGGGGAAAAGCGTTTAAAAGACACAGGGTCTTCAAAGTGCGAACGTCGTAACAAAGGTCTTCGAGATGTAGCGTCGACGGTGAGAGGGCAGATCATAATTGTCAGGCGTTTTAAATAGAGAACTGAAGAATCGTGATAGCGATTGATCCAAATGTCAATTTTAACAAAATAATATTAAATCTCAAGAATGCAAAGACGTAAAAATTATATCTTATTTTTGTATCAGAATAGAGTTTAATATCTTTTTTAAATTTAAACCAACCTCTTTTAAATTGCAAAATACTACTTGTGCTTACTATTTTTACTTTTCCCTTTTTTACCATTTTGATCAGCCGTTATCTCGATTCTATAAGCGCGGATAGGCGAAGAGAACCGAACGCGATATTTCTTCTCGACGTACACAGATCGTTTGGGTGTGCGGATTACTTGTTAGTGTGTCTGTTGACTGAATGATTCCACGATTTCTTGCCCGCTCTTGCTTCCACGAGAATCACGCTAGCTTAGATCTCGAGGATTAGGGAATCCATGACGGAGACGGGACGGTAGGGCAGCGAACGATCGATCAGCCATCGATTTCGTGATTTTTCTCGCGTATGTGAGCTGTTCGAGCCAGTTTTTCAGTCTCGAGTTCTTGGTAAGTTTCTACTTTAAGGGAAAATAGCGAAGAGAGGTTTCGATGATGAAGTTGCTATTAGTCGTTCGAATAGAACTGAGACTGCAATGATATCACTTTCGTCACGATGTTACAACTAATTATCGCGAAAGACGAGGAGCGTACAATTCAACGGAGCCTAATTTTTGCGAAATCATGATAACGATAGAACCCCCTTCCCGAACAAGACGACACCTACGTGGTCGAGAATGTAGAATACGTTTGTTTCTTCTCGATTAGCGCGCGCGCAAGGAGAACCAGCTAAATCACAAGACACAAATACTATATGTTGTAAGTCAATGAGAGTTGTAGAAATTACCTAAACAGTAGTCGTTAAGCCGATGAGAAGCGTTGTGAGAATTGAGAGAAGTGGATGGAAAGCGGGAGCGTAAATCTCGTAAGGAAGAGTGTTAGCGAAGTAAAAAAAAAAAAGAAACGTTATTTAGCGTCTTAGAATCGTGTAGTAGCTCCTTTCTAATTAAGTCTCCAGACTAAGTAACGTGTATAGTTAAATGACAATCACTCGACTCTCTGTATCGACAATTGACGAAATTCAGACGGAATCTCTGAGCCGTGATAAGCTGCCTACGCACCGAACCCCTTTCTTCGTGTTTATTTCCTTTCCTCGGTCCCTCCATACGTTTTACCTGTTTTCCTTCTTCGAGAGATTTTCATCGAACTGGTGGACGACTGGTGCGAATGTAAATAAAAAAAAAACAAGAGGACCTAAAACACGTTAAATTCGTCTCCGATTCGCATCGCGATCGATAACTAGATTAATTTTTTCTTGTAAGATTATGATTGTTAAAAGCACAATTTTACGTCTTCGAAAGCATTTTACGCGATAAACTTTTTACACAGCCTTCTAATGATATTTTAATTGCATTATTCATCATCGCTTACTGAGAATTGATAACAAAATTTTATAAGAATTATTCACATACTAAGAAAATGTTTCGTAGAGCATAAAATAGTATTTTTACTATTTTTCATTTCTTTTTTTTTTTTCATTTAGGAATTTTTTAAAAAATCTCAAATTGTACATACACTATTTCTTGGATATTGCTCTAGCCTTTCTAGCAATCT